TCCCTCCCTCCCTCCCTCTCTCTCTCTACTGAAGCACAGATTTAGGTGTTGCTGTCGCTCATTACGCTGTTGTGTGGGTGACTGTGGCTCAGAGCGGTGACAGGGGTTTGAACCCTGGCCCACCACATCTTGGACCATGCTGGACTGCTGATGTCTTGTTGATTCATGTGTGTAGTAGATTTTGTCTCGATAATGACTGTTTTGTCAGCAAGCGTTTCAGGTCCTTTAAGTTTGAAACCCCCCCAACCTCTCAACACTTTGTTTTTATTGGCGCAGCACCCCAACAGACGGGCACGGGTTTGGCATTTTCAGGGTTCGTACGGGTCTTGGAAAACTGGAAAACTCTTGGAATTTTTATAATTTTCCAAGACATGATGGAAAACTTTTGGAATTTTGGGAAATTGGCAAAATTCTTGGAAAAGTCTTGGAAAAACAAATTTTTAACTAGATCTGTTTTAAAGTTATTTCCTTGAAGTTTAGAAGGCCCTCGAAGTTTAGAAGGCCTCGACTTAACGCATTCTGAATAAAGCAGTGACAAAATACCTGGCCACGTGAGCTTATTCATTGTCTTGGAAAAAAGAAATCTGGTCTCGAACACTCTTGGAAAAGTCTTGGAAAAAAAAATCTCCTGCTCAGTATGAACCCTGCATTTTGCTGTTGCGCGCAGAAGATTTTTAGGTTCATTCAGGAGTCGTCTCCCGAACTTCAGGCGACCAGTTGGCTCAAGAGAAATGCTGTCCGTCTTGTCAGTGTTGTTCTTCCATTCTCTTCTATGCTGCTGTTTTAGTTTAGTTAATAATTAAATGTGTTTTGCTGTCCACTTTTTTTTCTCAGGTGTCCGATTTGTCAAACTAAGTGCGTCATTTGTTCTCTTTCTCTTGTTCCTGTTTTGTTTTGTTCTGGTTTTTGTTTTTCCTTTTAATGCTAATTAGTTATTATAACTAATGCTAAGTGAATGGCTGGAGGGTTCCATATTATGTAGGTTCGACTTCTTTGCCATTTGTTTTTTTAATTTCTGTCTGACCAAAGTGGGTGGTTGGAGGGTGCCACTGATGATAGGTCCTACTTCTTTACTTTCCTTCTGTTGTTTTTGCCTATCAGTCTTACTTTTTTTCCAGCACTAAATGATAATTAATTATTGTGTCGATGTGCTTCTTTTTACTCAAACCACCAGTCTGTGTATTTTGCTTGGGCGCTGTGTCCCATTCAGCCCGGGCTGGTGGCCAAGTTAAAGCAGCCTGCCCCCTAAGTCATCTAGATCATGTGGCAGGGACATGAGAGTGTTTGCTATTATTTCAAGGTTTTTGAGCACTCTTGTCTCTTATATGACCTTATTGTGTTGCAAGTGCCGTAAATCACTTACTAAAACTAAAAAGCACTGTTTCCTGCTTGAAATGCAGATGCTTTGTTCTCAGCTTTCACAGACTTTTCTTTTAAAAAATATTTACAAGTTCCTAAATTCATTTAATCGTGATCCCATTCTTGAGATGATTGTTTTTGAAAGTGACTTATATTGGGGAAAGAAACATGCCTTTTTGTCTCTTATTCATATGCAGAAAATATCCCCATATAAGTAAAATATTTGGGTATGTATACGTGTGATTGCCTCCCTTGTGTGCACCAGTGCGCTTTATTCTGTGGTTCTGTGCCACGTTTTTAGGGGTATGGCCATAACAGTTCTGTGGTTTTGTTTCAGCTTTTCAGATATCCTAATGGTGTTTTTTTAATCTTTGTTGAAGAATTTTTGCCATAACTTGCATCCATCTTATGCTTTTGAATTTAAAAGTATCTGTTGCTCTCTATCCATATGCATACATATATACATATTTATGTACAGAGAGAGAGAGAGAGGGAGAGAGAGGGAGAGGGAGGGAGGGAGGAAGGGAGGGAGAGAGAGAGAGACAGAGAGAGAAATTAAGAGAAAGAGAGTGAGAGAGAGGGAGGGAGGAAGAGGCGAAGAGAGAGAAAGCGAGTGAGATATTCAAGTGGCATTTAACTAAATCTGCAAATGTTTGGTAGTCTCCACACACTTGACCCCGATGATCACTGGTAAGTTCTGTTTTACAGATTCAAGCATGTTGCCCCAAGATGGTACGATGGAAAGTGCTTTTGCGTCTCAATTTTGTTCCCTTTCGAGGGTTTTTGTTTATACGTGTTTATATAAAGCTTCTATATTTTACCAAATGTTTTACAGTTTTTATCAGCCTTCTGCCTTCCATTTTTATCTTGCTTCTGCCGTACACATTTCCTCAATTGATGATTTGATTTGTTTTACTGTGGTTGTCGTTGATCAAATCTGAAAAGCGAGTAATGTTCGAGAAATCGTATTTTATAGGAGAGACAAAAAAAAAAGGCCTATAATAATTTTGAAGATTTCAACTACTTAACAGGATTCAGATCGATTGGAATACGAGATCAATTGGAATACAATATGATAATAAAACTGTTTGTGCATGATTAATAGTTAAGGTTGTAGTTACGGTCAAACCTGCGCTAACACCCACCAGTCCAAGACAGTCACCTGTACAAATGACCACTTCCCACTTGTGTGTTTAAAAAAAATTACATTGACCCTGTGCAAGAAGGCCATCTGTCTAAGACAACCACTTTTCTCCTAGTTAATGGGGAACCATCTTAGACAATTTCTAGTGTACTTAAAAGGAACTTGCTAGCCTTCCAGAAATCTTGGACTGGAAATTCTTTTTTACTTAGTTTTTACGCAACAATAAAGTTATGGCGTGGCGCTCATATGACCTTATGCAGTTGCGAGCGCGTAAAACCTTACTATAACTAACTAACTAAAAGTTATGGCAAATAATTTTGCTGTCTGTTTGTTACAATTCATGGATCATTACTATGTCCCTGAAATGCGGTGGTATTTAAGTCTTGCAAACAAAGGAGAATCTCTGAGTACGTATAGAAATATTGCCAGCATGTATCAAAATACTTGTTGAACATCATCATCTCTTTACATTTTTCGTTGGGAACTCGATTATCTGGTTGAAAACAGTAGGAAAAGAAATACCTTAGTTTGTTCCTGTTCAAAACCAGCTGCTCACCATGTCATTTTTGGCAGTGAGTTTTATAATTCAGGATTTTCTTGTACTAATCATTTTTTTCTTCTTTCCTTTTGCTTAGTATGTCAAGTTGAATTTAATTATTTGTTTAATTTTGTGCAGACTTTTGTATTTTTTCTCTTAGTTTAGAATACATGGTCGTTTTGGGATGATGGTTTAATAAGTTTGGACTTCATCAGGATTTTCTTGTACTAATAATTTTTTTTTCTTTCCTTTTGCTTAGTATGTCAAGTTGAATTTAATTCTTTGTTTAATTTTGTGCAGACTTTTGTATTTTTTCTCTTAGTTTAGAATACGTAGTCGTTTTGGGATGATGGTTTAATAAGTTTGGACTTCATCAGTGGAACGGGAAGTAGGGAAGTACTCGTAAAATGGTACTCAACGCACATCAGTTTTAGATGGGCTGACTTATGCTGTGTGTAGAAATCTTTGCACTGCTGTAGGATGGTGAAGTAATTGTTCTCCTTGGAAAATGGCAGAAGAGAAAAGGGATTGCAGTATTCAAACAGATTTATTTCCTGTTGAAGTGAACAAGAAAACAGTTTTGTCTTTCTAAAGAATTCTTAGTGGAGATTTTAGGATGATGACTCCTCAGGGAGAAGTGAACTAAACCTGTGACTGGAGTTCTTCTGTCACTGTAATAGTAAAATAAAATAATATGTGTGCTGGGATTCTGTGAGGTTTGTTTAGGTAGATTGTTGAAAGCTTATGAAGGCGTGACTTTTGGGTTTGCGGGGCTGGGGGTGGGGGTGGGGGTGAGGAGCGTGTTGTTATCCTTGGTTTTCCAAGACTTCATTGGTTTTCAAGTGGTACTTTTATTTTAGCTTTGATGGGGACTTTGATGATGTAAGGGTTTTTAAAGATAGCGTAACAGCCCTCTTTTCACCATTTTAAAATTAAAGGCTACAAGCAACGATAAAATTTAAACTGGCTAAATCTGTTGTTGTCATTGACTTTTCCTGGAGTTCATGACATGGATCGGAATACTTGGAATTTTGGAAAGAGAGGATTAAAGAAAGGCAAATCTCATTTCTGAAGTGTGTAGAGCAAGAGCATTGTCTGCTGACGGAAGTTCTTTCACTTTTCAGTCTTTGTTCTTCCTGGAAGGCAAGACTTCTTTGAAATCTATATCCAATTTGAGGTTGTCAGCTAAATCTTTCGCGTCAATGCCTACATGTTTGAAACTTTGAGTGATGTTTTCTGAAGCCCGCATGTGTAGTCAACTTTGATTGCATCGAATTTGAAGACTGCTGTGTGTGTGCGCGCGTGTGTGTGTGCGTGTGTGTATGTGCATGTGCGTTTGTGTGTGTGTGTGCGTGCGTGCGCGCGCGCGCGCGCGCGCGCGCGTGTTTTGGATGTTTGCTCGAAGTGTGGGCTTGGGCTTATTGCTGTGCGCTGGGTTTACTGCTTTGGGTGTTGTGTTGTGTGTGGGGTTGTGTTTTTTTGTAAGTTTGCCAAACTTTTGATGCTTTTGATCAAGTTTTGTGTGTTATTGAAATTCCGTCCTTTTCTTACATGTCCAATTTTTAGCATGAATTGATCATTTCTACATTTTTGTCCACGTTTTTGTACTTACCTTGACTTTAAAAATAATTTTTATAAAATGCACCCACAGTTTTTTCTTATAGATTCGATGGATTTTTTATTTTTCAGTTTAAAGAAAAGAGATAAACAATTGTGAAGAAAATCAAAGAATGATATCTTTATTTGATACCTAGAGGGAAATTTGTTTTACCTTAAAATACTTGACAGTAACATATAACATCATGTTCTGAAACAATTATACATTATTGCGAGTGGCAGCAGTGCAGCGCCCAGTTTTTTAAAATTTAGCTAGGCCTATTGTCTTGACAACAGACCTATGGTTTCACCTCGGTTACGTACCCCGCGTGGCCACCCACCTAAGGACACACCTCTAGTGACCTTAAAATACATCAGAGTGACCACCTACTTAAGAACACACCCCAGTGTCCGCCCATTTAAGGACACACACCCCCACTGACCTCCCACCTTAGGACTCTCCTTAGTGACCACCCACTTACCGAACACACCCAAGTAACCACGCCCAGTGACCACTCATTTAGGAACCCCAGTGACCACCTACTTAAGGACATACCCCCCAGTGTCCACCCATTTAAGGACACAAATCCCCAGTGACCACCCACTTATAGACACACCCCCCAGTGACCACCCACTTATAGACACACACCCAGTGACCACCCACTTATAGACACACCCCCAGTGACCACCCACTTAAGGACACACCCCCATTGACCACACACTTATGAACACACACCCCCAGTGTCCATGTATTTATGGACACACCCCCAGTGATTACCCACTTATGGACACACCCCCAGTGACCACCCACTTATGAACACACACCCAGTGACCACCCACTTTTGAACACACACCCAGTGACCACCCACTTATGAACACACACCCAGTGACCACCCACTTATGGACACACCCTAGTAACCACACCCAGTGACCACCCACTTATGGACACACCCCCAGTGATCACCCACTTATGGACACACCCCCAGTGACCACCCACTTCAGGACACCCCAAAGTGACCACCCTCCTAAGCAGTGCATAACTATTTAGTAGTACTGCTCGACCCCCCCCTCCCCCAATCCCCTCCACTCTACCCCTCCTTTTGAGAAAAATGTTTACTCCATAGCTTGTTTTCTATGTTTACTGTTGTTCTTTACATCATTGTTCGTTCGTTTCCAAATCTTTTATTGTTACATTTCCTGTTCTGAGCTGACCTACGTTTCAATATAATAGTTAAAACAGAGGTGTTATTCTTCCAGATAAACTCAGAAACAGTGATTTCTGAAATTGTCCTCACATTGCCCTTTTCGTTATATAACAATAGTCCTGATGCAAAGTGTATTAGATAATATGACCCGTAAATTTTTGAGTTTCCTGAGTGCATGTTTCCATGAGGCCCAAAAAACAATCCGGATTTTCTTTTTCGTAGCCAGTTGGCACTTCTGGTTTGTATATAGTTTGTTCACTATTATAAATAGTTTTCTGCAGATATTTTTCTTTCAAAAACTCATCCACTCTGGAATATTTCGTTTCTGTCTATCTACAGCAGAGTTTATGGTTACAGCAACACTTTCCAGTTTCTTTTACAAATTTGTCTAATAAATTGGAAGTGTGTAGCTTTTTTTTTAGAATTACAATTTTGCGTACTATTCCTATAAGAATTTCCATTGCTTTAGCGTATATCTTTTTGATAAACGGATGCTGCTAGGCTTTCTCTCAGATGAGATGTTTAAAAGGATTAATTCATGCAACAGCTCTGATGTGCTAAAGCAGATCCCTGGAAGACTCAGAAGAAGAAGACAATAACATTGTGATGTTCTACTTCAGACTGATTTCGACATGGGCTTTTATAGAGCTGTTTCTAATCCTCGATGCTAACTATTTTCCAATGATTTCCCGCACCACTCCAAGAAAATTTGTAAGGATTTGGAATTTGGAATGCTATCTGCAGTATGTTTCTCTCTGTGTATATAAGTGTTGCTACTGTTTTTCTGTTACCCCCGCATCCTACTGCCCCCCCCCCCCCCCCACACACACACACGCTTCTAAAAGCTGATAGGAGAGTTTGATTTGAAAAACAAAACAAATCAACATTAGATGAAGAATCCACGCTGTTCTTGAGCCTGCTGTGTATCTTTTCTCCCCAGGCCTCATGTGAACACGGAGATGTTCCTGTCAAGTCTGGATAAATGTGACCCCGATGAACCGGCGCTAGTGAAAACTCCAACTATCATAGAGCCGTCGACGCCTGCCAGTGTACCTCCAGTAGATATTGAGAGTAAGCCTGACTCTATCACATCCACGTGCCTAGTTAGCGTCACTACGTATCTTTGGTATCTTTCCACAATCAGGGGGGCTCTCGTGGCCTAGAGGTTAAGGTGTTCACCTCTCATTCAAAAGGTCCCGGGTTTGAATCCGGGTAGCGGCTGAAAAATTTTCTTCTCTAAAATTGGTCTACTCTCATCTCTTTTCCTGCTCTCTAGCAATGTTCTGTCATGTGTGTTCGTCTCCACTTTCTGCCCCCACCCCATCACCTCCTTTGCCCCCTCCTCTGGGCTCCTGATTTTTTCTTCAGCCTTTCTACTGCTACTCCTTGGCTCCTTGTTGCTGTCTTTCAGCCACACCCCTGATCTTCTTGAAGGAAAGGTCTACATCTAGCCTTCTCGGACAAGGGTGAAAAATCTCAGGAGGTCTTCTTGCGCATGTTAAAGATTCCTTGGTGGTCTAAAATCTATAAAAGTAGGCTTCGGCGGCCACCCGAGCACAATTCAAAATTTCCTACCAACTGAAAATATTTAATGTGTCCTGCGCGCTCATATGGCCTTATGCTGTTGCGAGCACCGTAAAACACTTACCTTGCCTTTCCACAATTACCCAATTAATATCTAGGGGTTTGGCAGCATTAAAAAAAAAAACACAGACATAAAGGGGCATCTTACAGTATACGTGATACAGTTATGTTGTGTTTGGTTTTTACCTTTTTTTGTTTAGAATGGAAGAATACTTAGTGCCTCTGTCATGGTTTTGATTTAGGCGTTCTCTTTCCCTCAACTTTTCTCAAAACTTAAGAAGATGACTAATAACGCACTTGTGGAGTGATGCTGATGATATGTTTGGCCACTACGTTTCTGTAGTTTTATTATGTTTCAAACTAAAGCTGTAGGTATACAATATTATAGAATCGTAAACATGTCAAATTTTTACCATGCTTATTGAGACTTATCATGTCTTGAAGGTGTGGAAAATGACATCACGCTTTGTTCTTTGGGGTCTTCCAATGGCTAAAACAGCACCTGGACATGGATGGCTGGTGCCTCTATAAATAAATCATTGATGGTCAGGGGTCTTCCAATAAAACTCAAAGCATTCATCTATCGGAACACACAAAACTGCTGAGATAAAATCAAACTGATGGCAACGTTTGTTTTGAAAGTCAAGTTGATAAAAATTGGAATTTTTAAAATTAAATATTGCCACAACGACAACAGAATACCTTCTTGTGTACTGTTGACCTGTGACACTGTTGTCTCTTACTCTTGTTGGTTGGAGGGTGCCACCGGTAGGTTCTATTTCTTTTCTATCCTTTTGTTGTTTCTGTCTATCTGTTTTACTTTTTCACTATCTCCGTATGACAGGTACTGAATTGATGTACACCTTTTTTACTCAAACAAACAACCTTAGTGGGTTGTGGCGGGAGCTGTGGTTTGATTTTCTCCTTTTTTCATTTCGAAGATCTTTCCCCCTGATCTTCTGGTAGGAAAGATCTACACCTAGCCTTCCCGGACAAGGGCGAAAAGTTTTGGAGGTCCGATGTGCAAGTTACGCTCGTTGAAGATCCCTTGGTGGTCTAAATTCGATAGGCTTCGGCCGCCACTTGGGCAAAATTCAAAATTTCCCACCAACTGAAAATGTTTAATGTGTCCCGCGCGCTCATATGACCTTATGCAGTTGCGAGCTCCAAGATACACTTACTAAAAAAAGATCCATCGTACTTATCTCCTTATCTTTCTTCCTTCTTTTCTTTGTATATTATTACTCTTCTGTAACACCTCTAATCTTTGGCACTTATGTATGAGTAATGACATAGTTGTATTGCAAGCGCAGTAAAAGTCTTTCTTAAACGGAACAAAACAGTCTTGCTTTTCCCTTCTGTACAAAATGACAGTCATTGTCGCTTGGACGCACACCTTTTTGCTCAAACAAAAACTAACGTCTCTCATTTATTTGCTCTTCCAGCTGGTGGAGTTGAACTTCGGCGCCGAGGTCGAGGGTCAAGGTCTGTGTCCTTTGCCCCTCCTTCGGGGCTGATTGATGTCCACGGTCTGAGGGGCCTGCTCAAATCTCATCGTCACAGCCGAATGGTGAGTCGTGATTCGCCGGTGGTTGTTGGTCGCTCTGGGTGTGGTGGTATTGGGGTTTAGGGTGGAGGGTGATGGGTGGGGATAGTGGTTAACTATAGTCAGTGTTACATTAGTATGTACCTTATTATTGTGGATGGAAATATTTCAGTTGTGAATTAGTATTTTTTTTAAAGTGGAAAAATCATTTCTGCTTCTTGACTTGAAAGAAATTAGTCCTATAGGGCTCAGATGTTTTGAATATTCTTTTTTTTTTCTCTCGAATTTGGTGCTGCCGATCGAGACTGTTGTTAAAGTCTTTGATCAGTTCAATGCAGATGATGTCCTTTGATGGAAAAATGCAAACTGAAATAATAAAGTCGTATTGAGAGTCTGAAAATCATTGGCCTAATTCTCTGTTTTGTCTCAGCAAGTTCAGTTTTGATGTATTACCCACCAAAATGTTGAAAAAGAATGAATATCTGAAATATGAAGATACATCTTTGTGGTTGCCTGACAGATATTAAGGACAAAAGAGGGAAGCAAAGAAAAAAGAAATGTTTGAAAGAGCAAACGTTTTTGCTCACTGGCTAGTACTTTCCTGAAGAAAAATTGGATAAGAACGTGTCAAAATCAATTCTGTAGTGAAGTGTAGCCATTTGTGAATAGGTGCAGTCATCTATAATATTATATTACTTTGTATATATATACTTTGTATGCAAACACCTTTCTGTAACTTTTTAGAAGAAACAACCTGCTCTTCCAACCTCAAAAAAAAAAGAAAAAGGTAGCATTCAGTATTAATATGAGCATGACGTATTGTATAAACAAGACATCTTTTAGAGGAATAAATAAAAACAGTGTATGTATGTAGGAGGAGGGGGGCAGGGAGACGACTAGTTTTCTTGAATATGTCTTCAGATATGGACAATTTTTTACTTTTTTTTTTTGGCGTCACTAATGTGAGGGGTAAATCGGCAAAATTTCTCCCTCTGTCACTTCTTTCCATACATACTTCTCTCTTGCTCTCTTTCTCTCTCCTCATTAATGATATTAATCATATTCTAAATGTACAAAGAATAGAACTAGATCCAGGCTTTTCCCTTGCTTTTTTCCTTTTCTTTTTATTTGTCTTTTACCTTTATCTGTGAACGACCTTAGGGACTGAACCCGGGGGCAAGGTCAACTAGATCCAGGGCTATTCCCATCATTGTCACTGGCTTTGATTGGTTAGGCTCACAGTTATTCATGGGTGGTTGGCGGGTGCTCTGGTGTGGTTTGCTCCTTCTTATTAAAAAAAAATCTACCGTCTTTATCTCCCTCCCTTCTTTTTTGTGTTTGTTACTCTCTTGTAATACCTCTATTCTTCGGCACTTATATGACCTCATTGTCCTGCAAGTGCCGGAAAACTCGTACTTAAAGTAAACAGTTGTTTGTATCAAGAACATATTGATAAATATTCAACTCTGAAGAATCACTATTTTGAAGAATCATTATTTTGAAGAATTGTTATTTAGAGGAATTGTTATTTTCACTTTCTACCTAATAAATAAGTTGATGAATGGGTTACCATGATCAGGTGGGTTAAAAAAACCCTCCAAACTTCTAAATATTTATAGTGTCCTAAAAGCTTTGAAAATCAACACAAAACAGGCAGTAAGCTTCTTTGAAATGCTCTATTTTTAGAGCACATGTGATTCTACTTCTTTATCTGATTTCCTATAGAAACCTGGACTTGATCAGATACAAAATATTCTTTACCACAAAGGATTACCTTATAGCAAAAAGAATAAAAATAAAATAAATAATAATTTTAAAAAATATGTGTTCACACACATATACATACATGCCATTGAAGGGGACATTTCAAATGGTTCTGTGCATTTGCTGGACTATAAAAAAGACAATTTACTGATTTGTATTTTACTTTCAGATGTTGTCAAAGTATGACAAAAACTTGACGGATCACGAAGGAAACGTGGTGCAGACGGAAATACGAAAGAAGAGCCACCGCAACAACAGGCTGCTGCGTCTGTTCAGCGAAGACGGCGCCTCGCCAGGCACCGAAAGACGAAAGTCGTGGTCGGAGCAGGACTGCCAGCTGGCGGAGCAGCGA